CGATGGATTTCCTTCTTTGCGGAGTATAACTTTGTTGTATACTACAAGCCAGACAGGACGAGCATCTTAGCCGATGCGTTGTCAAGACGACCGGACTATGATCCAAATTTTAAAGCGAAAACATGCACGAGTCATGTCGACAATACGAAGATGTTTAGACGATTAGAGTGCAAGCTAGGACTACAGTGCGCGAAGAGATTGTCGAAGGGTACAAGTCTGATGAGACATGTCAGAACTTGTTGAGGTATTTCAATAACCCTTCCGACTAAGCACTGCAACGGCTTCCGTAGATCGCGAGTTCACCGTTTTGGAGTTAACAACGGATTGTTGTACTTTGCTGTTGAACACGGGGATACAGCAAGAGTTGTTGTTCCAAATGACTAAGGTTTGCGTCATCGTCTCTTATATGAGAACCATGACAGCGCTTCGGGTGCCCATCATGGACGTGAGAAAACATTTCTCAGTCTTTACCGGGATTACTATTGGCCACATATATATTAGTGGTTGCGCAAGTATGGGAGAACTTGTGAGATTTGCCAGAGAGTGAAACCATCCTATTCCACTCAGGCCCCACTTCAGTCGTTGGCAGTGCCAAGTGGCAGCTAGAAGTCTGTATGTATGGAGTTCATATTCGGACTTCCGCGTGACACACATGGACGCAGTGGCATCCTTGTGTTATTGGACCGATGGTTCATCTTGCGCCAGTCTCGGACAAGGTTTTAGCCAAGAATATAGCTAAGGTCTTCGTAGACGTTGTTTTACGTCGGTATGGCCTTGTTGTTGGGATCGTGTCTGACCGTGACACCCGTTTTACGTCGAAATTTTGGCGTACACTGTTTGGACGATTGGGCACCAAATTGTCCACGTCAACAGCGGCACACCCCGAAACGAACATTCAAACGGAGCGTGTGAATCGAGTCCTGGAAGACGTACTGCTTACTTACGCTTCGTCGTTCAGAGAGTGGACTCAATTTTTTCTTCTTGCAGAGTTTGCGTCGAACAACTCCACGCATGCCTCGGCAGGTCATTCACCATTTGATATGAACTATGGTATCTATCCTAGAGTACCTGCTTCCATAATGGGCAAGGCTTTCACCTTTAGTGGAGAAGGGAGAGCCACAGTCGGACCTAAATGCTGTCACAGAGTTAAAGCGAGTTTTGACTTAATGAGACCGCTAGACGACATGACAACTCGTGATGAACAGCGCGTCGATGACTTTATTGCGATGAGACAAGCCATTGTTCGGTTTGTTCCAGACGCAATTGCGAAAGCTCAGAAGCTGCAAGAAGAACAAGCAGATAGAAGCGGAAGGAAGAACGAGAAGGCATATAAGGTCCATGATCTTGTACTAATTTCCACGACAAATCTGCCTGAACATGCACTGTCCAATTTGGGAAGCATGACGCTTTTAACAAGGTTCATAGGGCCGTCCAAGGTGATGATTTGCATTGGTAATGCGTATACATCAGCTATCCCTACACGCATGCGCCTACATCCTACATTCTATGTGGCTAGGCTAAAGTCGTATCTTCCTAATGGATATGCCGATTTTACTTTAATTTTGGTAGATGATCGAGCTGATCATTAAGTTTGTCTATTTGTTCGCGAAGGGCAACCGACTCTTCAACCTGGAGATGCATTTCGGCGTACAAGCTTTGATGACATCGAAGGATTGCTCCTTTACTGATTCCAACGCTTGATGGCGGGATTGTACTCACAACGGAGTACCTCGAGAACAAATCCTGCCTCTCCAACGGGTGCTAGTGAGCCATTTCACGAGATTCATCGTCCTTCCGGAGTCAAACAAATTCATCATGAACCTGTTGATCCGTATTCCAAAACGGGACATCTTAAGCCAAGCATTAAACGGAATCATCAGTCAGAACGTCGAGTTTCGAGTTCTGCTACGCAACAAGGTTCGAAAGGCTATCCAGCGGTCTTCAAGCGTCGATCAATGCTGCTGCAATGTCTCGATTTGCCCACGATGATCGCTCTTCCATTTAAAGTCGCTAAATCGTTTTCACGTTCAGCCCCACCTCCTCTCGTAGACTCTCGTGGAGAGTGGTCAAAACGATTGTAGATCACGAAGATCGATCCGCTCGTCATCGTGGACAGAAGCAGTTGAACCATGCTCGGTCGAGACTGTGAGCCCTGCCATCGCTGACTCGGCAAAGCAGACGTACCACTTTGTCTTCGTTCTCAAGGCGATCAAATGTCCGCCAAGAGTCAAGCTTAGCTGCCGTGGGCCGGATCGGATCATCACGGTTGCTATTCGACGCCAACGAAAGAATCGTTCCATGTAGAACCTCTTGTCTTTATTCCGGCTGATAATGAAGGAAACGTCAAAGAGCTTTGAAGCTGTTCTTTGCCATTTAGGCGAAGAACGTTCTCCTGTTTACTTGATCACGTCACTGATCGGAATGTGAGCTCCTCCAAAAGGTCTGCAAAAGTATCCAAAGTACTTTTTCCTATAAGGAGGGGGTGATGTAATGCTTACCCTTACATAAAGGTACGTTTATGTGCCTTCTGTATGTATCTTGAGAATGAATGAAAGAATATTACAGTATGGCGTTCCCAATTGCATACGTGATTTGTTATATGAAGTCTCAAACATCTTGTGTGAGACAGAATGCTGGTTCCTACTGGGATCTGTACTGGTGACGAGACCGACGTGTCTCTGTCTTTAGAAGGAGGTGGCGTAACTTTTACTGGATACTAATACGAAAGTTGAAGCTCAAGGTTTTGAACTGAGTGGCGAAAGCAGGTCACCTTTACCGAATTCCTTCCACGAAAGTTTGAGTTTAAGCTTTCGAGGTTCAAGCTCTGTACGTCTAAGATCTTTAATAAGTTGAAGCTGAGATTCAACCTCAGTACACCCTTGATTGATATCAGGAGCCCAAGTTTTCATACGTAAAATCTTTAGGAGCCCTTGGGGTGTTTTACATGTAGCTAGGAGCAATAACTCATTTTAATTCAGTTGCAAATCTACCTTCAAGTTATTTAGTCGTACTCTTTCCCTCCAAGTCGGGACTGTCCTTATTCCTCCACTTCAGGAATCGATTTCTCTTCGCACAAGCGTGTGTTTTGTATTTGAGGGACTGTTTGTGAGCAGCAACCTGTTTCAGAAATATTTTTTACAGCGGAACTAGCGCGTTCTAGCCGACCATATATTTCTGAAATTTTGCAATTTAAATACTCAATTTGGTGTCGAATCGTGGTCTGTTTGCTTAACCTTCGCTGCAAGAAGCGGATCTTTATCCGATACAATGAAGTCTGGTAAGATAAATGGCAAAAAATTTTGTTGAGGTGCGACTTTGCAGTATCCTCACAGGTCAGATTATCGCTGACAGTAGCGAGTTGAGCGATCTTAATCAGACATTCCTAAAAAACACAATGCCGAAATTACCAAACGTGTCTTTGTCTTTGAAGACCAGAATTAAAGTCTTGTATGATGGTCTGCCACCACTCTACCGGCATCAGCAGCTGGCTATAGGTGTTGCTGCCGCGGTGGGGATTTGACTCGTCGACAAACTTGACATGCGTGCATTTATGTGCCTACCCAATTAGGGATGGTGAGCCATCAATAAATAGAGATTACCAAGATGTATGTCCTTCCTCTTTCGAAATGGTCACCAAAAATGGTATCATGTGTCTCGTACAGTATTTATTATCAGGGTCTCCGTCGTGGGTATCACTAAGCTCTGAGTGACATGTAGGTCAGATCCATGACTCACCATTGACCAATACATAGCGGTGTATGCGTGCACCCGTGCGCTTCGATAAAGCGACGTCAGGGCTCTCAAAATCCTCGCAACTCAAACCTTTTAGCAACGGAGCACTTGACTTCTGTGCATACGATGAACGTATCGCCTCATAAATTTGCGACGTCACTATTGTGACATGTGTCCCAACTGCTAAATCAAGCGGGCATTGTGCCCGATGATAATCAAGCATCCTGGGTGAGTTTTTCTTTGTTGGGAATAGCCAAAGTGATCCTCGAGTCTCAATGCACCACGTCCACCTTTTCCATAGGATACATGGCTGTGCCGATTTTTGTGGCCCTTTGGGATTCGAGCGTCCTAATATCTATTTAAACTCTGCACACCGTGCATATTTTCCGTTGTGGAATTCAAGAAGACAATCTGCTATGGAACTGTCAATACGGACAGTCTCCACTACCAACAGATCTTAATGAACTCGTCTTGTTTGTGAAACTCTAGTCACAGTGTAATGTAGTCGTTCGCAGCCATATTGAAGATCGCTGATATATATATTAAGCATGCTTCAAGGGTTAATAAAAGCACACTTGTTACCACATAAAGCCCACTTTATCTCAGAAGATTAAGCAGTAAGTGCTGTTGTTATCTTCGGCAAGAGTGTCGTGATGATGTCGGTGATTAACTCGACGCATGATCATATTGATCACACATGAGTTTAAATTAATCAGGTTCAATAAGGAATAAAAGCTGCACACTATATCGCTTGAATCTTATTGTCATGGCAAGCTTAATTCTTTGCTGTACATTTCAGCTGGCAAGACTCGAAAGCGATCATGCGCTTATGCCCATTGGCGTCTGTGTGAAGTAGAGCACATCCTATGGCAAAACCTTAGTGTCCCGAACGACATCAAATTGCCGATATGGTTTCAAAGATCTATATTCTGGAATGTCGATTTCATTCACAGGGTTTGTGCCTTCCTTTTTTTGCCGAACCCTGACATTATGTGGCATTCTTTATTAACGATACTGGTGAGGGATCGTGATATGTGAGCATAGTTTGCACTATACCAGTGCAAGTACTTGGTCAGATCACGATACTTCCTCAATATATATCAAAAGAGACACTTTTCAATTTACAATGGCCATTGAACTCGTAAATTCTGCTCACAGTCTATCTTTTCCACTTTGGCAACGTAAAAAGGGTAAATTTAGCGGCGCCAAAATAACACAAGTAAAACGCTCAATTTGGCACAAACGCTTGACCGTTGTTGAAGTGATTGATGTGGCTCTTGGTATTAGTGATCTTGTTCTCTGCACTTTCGCCAAGTGTCTTGAAAAGACTTACGATATGTGAACATAGTGTGGTCCAAATCATAGTGGCGAAAGCTGTGATTGAGCAAGTACTGTACACAGCTTTACTAATCCGTGCACATTTGGTAAAATTGTTTCATCTACAAAAAGGTTAAACTGTGCGAAATCTACATTGCGCTTTGATGTAATTATGAGGCATTATAAGAAAAGTAACAGCGGTATGTATGAAGTTATGGAGTTCTGGAAAGGAGGAGTCCGTGGAACACGCGGTGTCCAAACAGACTTCACTAAATAGAGATTTTTTCTCATTAAAGATGGTTAAGCGTATAGAATTCATTCAAGTGAAATAGCATTGATTCTCAAAAAACGTGTTTTTGTAATAGAAGAGTTAACTATTCACCTTGTTGCTCAGCAATCTAGAAACTCGCTTTTGACAAAAGACGTCGTGATCATATTTTCTTGCGTGGGTGTTCAGCCCAGTCATTGCGCAAGCCGCGAGCACTGATTTCGCTTCATAAGCGTTTCTCGACATCGCAGATTAGGAGAACCGCTTGATGTTGAACCAGCAGCGATTGGAACAAGCCACAACCTTATTGCAGAGTGTACCAGACTCCGGCTTAAGCGCCGATGACTATCATTCCTACCAATAAAATGCAAGAAGGCGTGAAAAGTCGTCATCTTAGTCATTTTATGGCTTTACAAGACAGCTTGAACAAAACAGACGTTTAACTAGAGCGTTATCAGTGCTTGACTTCGGATAGTACGAAAACGACAACAACGTCGAGGCGGATACTTGCGTTCATTTTCAGTTCATGATGTAAGGGGTCCTGCTTATAGCCTTGATTCTACAGCTGCAGCTACAGATCATGTTGTGAAGTTGGAGCAAGACCGAGCCCCAAACAAAAAATGAAAAAGAGTTGCTCTATGCAATCCAATCTTACCTTTTGAGGAGGTAATTACAGGGGGCGCGACAAGTCGTAAGCGCCGATTGCACAGATTCAAATTCTTGCGGGATGAGTTACCGGATACTGATGATATCTCGGAGTAAAGATATCCCGTCCATTAGCTAGGTTTTACGTACATCGCCGGTATACACGCAGGTCCGCTGATGAGTCTGTATTCGAGTAGACCTTCTCCAAGTCAACCGCCATTTTACCGGCTATCGTGATTCTTTCAGTGTTCTAGCAGGACATTGACTTATGCCGGGAAACTCGACGTGATAATACTTTCTTCAGATGCTCTCGCAAATCATCTACCGCAGGTAGGCAAAGGAGACTTACGGCTCGTAGGACCTTATTGGTTATTATGTTCACCATTTGCATGTGGATTGCTACTGCTTCGCATGGTGGGCAATCACACGAGTAAACTGACTCGGCCGTCCGATTAGATCGGGACTAAATTGATCATTTGTTAGCTTTGGGGCTGGCCCTTCTATGCGCGACATGCATTCTTCCTTCAACTCTACCGGCTCAAGCATGGGAGACTGGATACCTTGTCGCCTCTACTAGTATCGATTCTGGAACAGAAGGAACCAACTTACAGCTGTCAATGATATCTCAGCTGCTGGAATACATTGAATCCCACGACATGCAGCCGCTCCCATCCCATGTTCACTCTGGAGAAAGCGATTTACAAACGCTTATCTCTAACTCATGTTGCTACGATATATCACTACCATTTTTCCGACCATTTCTTTAGGCTATTCGTAGACTTATTGCTAGTCAGTTCGGATAGTCTTCAAAGCTATTGGAGTTTTGTTCTGGCATCAAATGTTCCTCTGCTCCCTGTTATAGATTTTGTCATGACTTTCCACTGCACCACGAGGTTGGCAAGTAGCTATTTCGACTTTCAGCCGATCCTTGGCTCGTGACATTCCAGAACATCATGCATATGCATCAAATCATAATTAAGTCCAAGACGACGCGTGATTCCACCTGTCAAAGTTATCAGACTTAATGATAGGTTTCAGTAAAACCTTTGGCTTTTCAATAGGGCTCTGCATGAATACCGCATCTATCCAGCATCTGCAACGTGTCAGCATTTTTTTAACACGCGCGCCGTATCAATTGCACATCGCTATCAAAGTTATCACAGTTTTCCATAGATTTACAATGCCAAGACGTTTAATTGACAGCCAACGACCATTCTCAAAAAGGGTCGCTTTCTTTTGATCTGGCTATATTGACCTCAACCTGTATGAGGGGCTACAGAATTCAGTTCTTTATCAATAGACGCAGGGTGGTATGCTGGAGTTTGGTGTCCCCCCACGATGGGACTATTGGATGATCTGGCGCCGAAGCCATCCCTTCAATGTTCTTGTCGAGAGTGAAGGAGGTACAATCAACAGATGGTTTGTACCGCCACAGATGACACATGTATGAGTGCTACACAACAGATCCACATCCAGCAAAGTCTCTATCGTTCCACAGCATAACATGGCTGAGGTCAACCATCTTCAATGTTCTTGCCAAGCTTTTGAGTCCAGTATCCATTTCGTCTTTCGCGTTACAGAACGACGTCAACTCTTTGCCCGAAAGTTAGCATTAGTGGTCTCACTTATATAGCCGGATTCGCTCTCACCGACGCCAGGTCGATGCGCTTATGAGGGTGACTCACCAGAGCGAACCCTTCTCTTCCAGATGAGCGAGGACCACTCATAGCATTTGATTCGCCTGATGTGTAATCTCCTCAGGATTACCTAATTACATGAGTTTATTAAACGAGTTTATCTGACCCGCGGACAGATATCCGAACACTGTGTTTTGTCTTAAAGGACACAGTCTCTTAAGACTCTATCGCTGACTTGAGGACAGATGCTACCAAGTGCAAAAGGGCTGCCTTTCACTTTCAATTGTGACAGCTTTATCTCAACGAGCTCGCATAAAATACACACCAGCCAAAAAATTTCACGCTCCAATCAGGAGCGGAGAAATGAGCCTTTAGAGCGATTAGGTATCTAGTTTGCTCGTCTATTATAAGTGAAATAACATCTAGAATTGAGTCGACTTTTAGCATATATGTTAAAGTATTGTCCATGAAAACCATATGAACTTTACTGCGTGGTTGTGCAGCTCACGTGACCCACTATCCGAAGTCTGTCGGAATCAGTAATTTTAAGCTTTGCTTTGATTTTGAGGGATCTTGTGTAATGTGTACGTACACCATGATACATTACACAGAAATTTCAAGTTATACAATCTGTAAGTCCTTATTATTCTGTACAATTTGACTCTGTGGGTTTGTTTATAGCCATCGCACATGCGACAGACAAGAAATATTATTTTCATGACGTTTGTGCAACAATCTTTTATATCGTAACTGATATATCACAATGATAGAATATCTAAAACTATGCTAACGACTTATTGATCATAATTGAATTTTTTTATTCAATGTAGAGGGTTTTGTATTCGTCAGTCGTCTGCCGGTACGCAAGCAATACCACCGTTTCTTCTAGCATGGTGAAGACGCTGTCTGCATCTGAAAATGATGCGCTGCTGCGTGGTAAATATCGGTGCGTCATTTTGCCATAATGAATTTTAATTGCAGTTTAAGATGCGTCTATCTGTCGTTTACAGCTCTTCAACGGTTGAGCATTCGTCGAGTTGGCACTCTCGACCACGGTGTCGTAGACTTTCCACTTTGCTCTTGTGTCTCTGTAGCTGCTTTCAGAATCCAGCGACTAGTCCTTGCTCCGGTCTTATGGTAGCAATTGCCGGTCTTTTGGTGCTTATTGGGGTGGCTTGTTCGATCATTGCGCTTGTGGGCAGCTACAGTGCCGATGAATACTTGTTTCTAGGAGCTATTGTCTCTGGAGCTTTTGCTCTGGTGATTATTGTCGCCTTCCTCACAAGTCCGGCCGTGCGAGCACACCCAAATCCACTGATTTTCAGCAAAAGCCTCGTTGACTTGATGTTGGCTTTAATTTATGTGGCCGAGTTCTGTGTAACAGAGTTTTCCGATTCAGTAGCACTACCGTTTCGCATCGCAGCGATCACACAAGCACTACTCATTGCTGGCGAATTCTGGTTTTTCGCCATTCCAATCGACATGGTACAGTCAATTACCAACCCATTTACGTCTTATTCGCATAACTTTCGGATTTATTGGTTTTATTCAGTGCTTAGTGGAATTGTCTGTGGTTTGGTTTTGTGGTCTCTTGGTGATGCAGAGGCAGAGTGCATTAAGACAGATGAGTCGAATCCCGACTGTGAAAAGATTGCCGACGCCAGTGAACAGCGTTTTATTTGGTTTCATCATAATACAGATATGCCCGGCTTTTTCTGGCACCAATGGATCTTGTACCACATGTGTGTCGTCGTATACTTGCTCTTTGGGATTGCGTGTATGGCATATGTTCGTAGCCGACTACGTCGTGGACTGGAAGAGACGTTTGAAGTACGTCGACGGGTCTTATCAAATGGAATGCTCTCTTGCGCAGTCTTTATTTCCTGGTCCTTTATAACGATTTGCCTCTTTGCTATGACCAACAGTGTGGCAGTAAAGGCGGTATTAAGAAAAATGCTGTTTAAAGAGCTCATTGATTTAAGTGCTTTTTTGCATTCGTCTCGTGGCTGTGTTAACATTATCGTTTGGATTGTGGTAAATTCACCATACTTTCCATCGCTATACTCAGAACGCTCTAATGATTCGATACTTCAGTGCCAGTATGGAAATGAGCTACTGACGGACGATTCGTTTTCACCTGGATTCGAAATTTATGAATGCAATGAATATAGCAATAATATGAACAATCATTCCTATAAACACGAGGAAAAGCTGATGAATCCACAATTGAACGTTGCATTGCGCAAGCAGATGATTCACATGGCTACAAATGGCATCATCGAGTCCATTCAGCATCACCATCGAATGCGACGTGAAAATGGGAATAATCATACATTTCAAATGGATTGGCAACGATCTCCTCAGCGTCGTATTCGGCAATTAGTGTCCTCTTGGTCAACTGATGACGCAGTGGGCTCACAGACGGTTCCACCAAGATCAATGCCCATTTTACGCGCAATGAGGAACTCGACGATTCGAGTGGTAGAGGAGCCTCGTGACAACCCCAGTAATCTTCGATTTTCCTTTATGCCCATGACATTGACAGAAATGCAGTTTTATGACTTTCAGCCTCGTGTCTTTGCGTCCATTCGTCAGCTCTATAGTGTTGATGATGCTGAGTATATTTTTGCGTTCCGTTCTACGATCAACGAACGCATTAGCGAGGGTCGAAGTGGTGCGTTTGTCTTTAACACGTGCGATCGCAAGTATATAGTCAAAAGTACAACGTCCAAGGAGAAGGATGTGCTTCTGCGGCTGTTGCCGTCGTACTTGAGGTATCTTAAATGGAATCCGGAAACGCTTTTGCCTCGCTTTTTCGGCTTTCATGCCATGAAAATGTATGGCCAGATCTTCTACTTTATTGTAATGGGAAACGTCCTGAGCACCACAGAGGTCATTCATCGCAGATACGACATCAAGGGCTCATGGGTGGACCGCAATGCTCCCGCCTGTGTCTTGGGTGAAAAGTATCGCTGCTCGAAATGCAATCGATTCTTTACATTCGGCGGTGCACCAGAAGAACCGTGTTTTTTGCCGGACGAAGAGCACTATCCCGACATAACTTTACGAGACAATGATTTGAAAAAACGACTCAAGCTGGATCCTGATACGGCTATTAAGCTTATGAAGCAATTGACTCGCGACAGTGATTATCTCGCTAGTGCGGGCATCATGGATTACAGTCTTCTTATTGGTACGCACTACTCGCATTTTACCATAACGACAGAGTACAAGCGTGGGCTTTCCCATCGCAAGTCAGTGGAATATACAGCACATTGCGCTGATGCTCATGATGGAAAGCCAACTATTGATCTCGTCTCGCATGTAGCTGAAAAGTGTCGGTCGTCAAGTGAAGATGATGCAATGTCCGAAGCCACAAGACCATCCGATTCTTCAGACTTTTTTCACGAAAAGCGCTCAACGTTATTTCTTTCGTCCAAACTGCCACTGGGTGAGCGTAAAGAGTATTTTCATAATCATGCGTACCATGCACATCAAGTTTCGGGGCCTAGCAAATATTATTTCGGCCTTGTTGATATTTTGCAGGAGTGGACGATTGAAAAGCAAATTGAGCGTGCCTATAAAGTGCATGTGCTTCGAAAATCAAGTCAAGGTGTTTCGGCTGTTCCACCGACATTATATGCGCATCGCTTTCAGAGAAAAATGAAGCAGCTTTTTATCACAATGCCGACATATCCACTCGAAGATGATGCGCTAGGCGAAATCCCTGCGATGTGTAAATAGGTCGATAAAGAATAGAGAGTGGGATATTGTTCAGTAATAAAACCTAAAATATGATATGTGACTATTATTTATTGAATGATTGATGTGATAGAATATTATAAAAAAATGATTTTAGGAAAAGTCATAATCATTAAAATATAAGAAGCGAAATGTCATTTACGCTCGAAAATGAAAAAAGACTGCGAGCTGTTCCAAGACACGCGCTGATTGTGTACTTCACGCACTAATCGAAAGTGTGGTGATTTCTGAAGCGCGTTCTTGTAATCAATGACCAGCGTTCCTGACTGCAGCTCAAGCTCGAGTTTGGTCTGGACCTGCGCATACAGTGCTTCGTCCCAACATTGTGACGTGAGCAGAAGTATCGACACGTCGTGGACTGACACAGTGACCATATCGGCGCATTTAAAGCAGCATTTTTCTTTGGATATTTGTAGGTTCAATCGAAATTGTTCTGCCACGTCGTGAAGAAACTCCAAAATCTCAACACCTACTGATCGAAGACCAAATACCAATCCTGCAAAGAAGACGAGAGATCCAATAGATGCACCGAAGACGGTCAAATTCACTTGTCCACTTGCAAGTTTGTCTAGCACTGCTTGTTGGGTGAAGACGTTTAACCACGTTGTAAACGGAGTGCTGCCGTATGCGAAGTTGTCTACCGAATAGAGACTATTACTTCCTGAGAAATGTTGCTGGGCTTTTGAGAGCCCTTGGTGAAATACGAGCTGCTGCTCTTTCTGTCGCAATTTTGTCACCAACACTTGCAAACTTTTTTTGTTCTTATTGTCAACCAGCGGTAGATTATGACGCGCCAAAACCTCGTTTACTTGAGCCACCGCAGCAAGTTCATCTTGATAATTTTTAGAACAATTTTGCTGGATGTGTTTCATGGTAGGTATCGTGCTTTGGGTGTGGATTTTCGTGGCAGCAAGTAGTTTTCTAATTCTTTCTAGCTGATGTTTGTCAAACTCACCTTCAGACCTGCAAAGCTCGGGCTGAAACGTATTTTCAGATCCACCCTGGAGAAAAGTTATGTTGATTGTTTGACGAAACTCGCGAAGACATGCTAGAATCCTCAGTAGGAGACTACGCAATCTCAACTTTCTATCAGACAGAGAATCTTGACGTACTTCGTTATAAACAGCATATGCAGCAGTCTGGAGCTGAATGTAAAAGTAAGTATGATACGAAATATCTATTGGACTTCGGCGTACCTGCTTGAGAAGACAGCCGCATTCTTCCCAAGTCAATAAAACCATATGATTATCTTACTCTATGACAGCAAGAAACATCAGCAGACATGGCGACGGTTCAAACTTTTACTTTTGTGATGAAATATTGAGGTTAAACATCGCAAATTGTGGATTACTTTAGGTAAGTTAAAGAAAAATCACGATAGCCGTAACATTGTCTCCACTCCCTCGTGCTAAGGCCTCCTGGACAAGAAACTGTGCTGCACGAGACTGTTGAGAGACGGGTACTGATTCTACAAAGTCTACAACTTCTTGGTCACTAAATACATCCCATACACCGTCGCATCCCAACACCAGAATTGAGTAGTCTGTCGATGGATCCAGCCTGGAAATAGACGACAATGTCAGATCTTGAGGCGAATGTTATCCTCAGTATCCTCGTTACCGTGTCGCGCTGATGTGCGGTCTTGCAGCAACAAATTGCTTGAGATCACTATCCCCGAAGCTTCTACAATCGATTTGGACAGAGTAAGATCGCTTTACTGAATAAACTACCACGATGTTCATGGTAGAGCCTTACCGAGAGACTGCGAGCACACCGGACACTCGGTCTTGAATGACGAAACCGCCCTGCTGAACAACGCGCTCCAATTCGCTTGGATCACTAGCTTTGTGGTCCTGTGTTCAATCACGGATACACGCTTCAGCTATTTATTGCTGTCATGTATTACATTCATTTAATAAATTCACCTTAGATAATCTTACAGCTTTTTGTTTGCAACTAAGCACTGCACGGCTGCAAGAATGAGTAAGCATTATTAATTTTATGCATCCGAATGCTAAGCACACATCAAAAGTCGCACCTATCGCCAACATTAGCGACGTATAGCGTAATGACACCATTTTCTTCCAAAAGCAATGCAGTCACTGCCGTCGCACCGACTGTCCCAGGATATAACTGACAACACTCCATATCCGAGATCAAAAAGCTCCTTTAAACCAGATTGCATCGTAAATCCTCTACTTTCTCAAAACAAATAAGATCCTGGACGTATACCGCTCAAGGCACATTTCCACTGTTGTGCCAAGGTCGGCCCGTTGTATTTCCGTGGCAATGTTTTCGTGTAGCACCTGTTGTAAGTATGTCGAAACGGAACGACCTAAAGACGCTAAAGTCACTTGCTTTGAAAAGCGTTGCATACATTCTGAAACTAATAACGCAATTCGTCGCAACGTGTGGTCTAATACCTCCGTGTCCATCATAAATGGCAAAGTAGCCGTTCTTGTCATGTTGCAAGTAGCCGTCCACAACGCAAATTGTATCTTCCATAGTCTTCCGAAACTCGGCATTCTAATTACTGATGTCAAACCGTTGTTTTATGGAGTTAACTGCTGCGGGGCAATATGTTGATGTACCATTTCCTCGCAGATGCTCACGCTCCGGCAGCTGCTAAACTTTTCGTTCATCCTGATTAAAAAAATGAAATTTATCATCACACCTTTGTATTATAATCACTACTATTAAATTGAAACGTGAAGAATGGGTCGTCCAAAGATTAGCGTTGCCGCTGTCGGGCTGTCGGCGGCTACAGGCATGACGGTAGCGGTCGTTTCAATGATGGCGTACTTTCGTTTTCAGCATCCACAAGAGTTTGTGGATGCTACAATTCGAATGACACATCCAGAGCTGACAAGTGATGTGAACCGCAAGTGGGGCCTTTTTGGAACTGGCATTATGGACTCTGTGCCGCAGAGCGTCAGAAATCTATTCCACGTGCCCGACATGGCCGAGCGCTTTGAAATGCAAAAGAAAAAACGGGATGAGCAGATTCGTCAAACTATCGAGGACTTACGCCCTAAGGGCAAGTAGTAAGGTGTAGAGAATCACGTCATGATCTCTCGTAGTACTACAAACGATTTTTTTAGGTAGAAAATGTTTCTCTATACGGCAAGTGACAATAAACCAAAATGATAATAGCAAAGTCCGATTTTGTTAGCTTGCTTACATGGCGATCACCAGACAGAATTGAAACAAGCTCTAGAAGTAAACTAGAGCTACATCTACGAGCGGTAACGACGCAGCGAGAGTGTGTTGCGACGCTTCCAGTTCTGCCGGAAAGAAGAACCAATGATTTTGTTGGCACGGTGGCCACGCTTGCGCAGACCACGACCCTGGCGGCCAGCAGACGTAAGACCTCGCTGTTGGCGTCCCTTGTGCACAGCGTTTACGATCCAGTTAATACGTGGGTCGCGACGGATGACCTTGTGCGAATGGTCTACCATGATGATCTCAAAGTACTTGTGAGTGGCATCCTGGTTCACCCAGTACGAGTTAAGCACGCGCAAGTTTGTGAATTTGTTGCCGGCACGCTCTTCAGCCACAGAACGCAAGTTGCGTTCGAACTTAAGCTCGTTAATACCGTGGTGCTTGGGCTTACCATAGACAATACCCTTCGAGTTCGGGCGTTTACGGCCACCACGACGCACGGCAACACGTACAATCACAAATCCCTGTTTGGCTTTGTAGCCCAAACGGCGAGCCTTGTCGAGACGAGTGGGGCCCGTCACACGGTGAATGACCGGTAGCTGACGGTATTCCCAAGCACGAACACGCAACAGAAAGCGCAATACATCCGATTGTTTGCGCTTCCAAAGCTCTTCCAGGTACTTGTAGGCTCCCATAATTCTATAACTTTGCTAAATGAAGTAGATTCCACGATGGCGGCGTAGCTTAGCCAGTCATCGCTACAACGGGACACAATAATAATACTAGTTTTTACTGCTTTAAGTACGATACATTTTGTGCTTTACATAACTTTCTCAGTTGAAGTTGCTATTGGCACTTACCTACTTCGACGAGATCGATGATGTTGCTCGGGAGTCTAGTGCGAGCATCCACGCTATATAAATCTAAGGGTCTCACATCTCGCTGGCGAAATACTCTTGCCAAAGCGACACAATTTAAGGTGCAGATGCTTGATGGTGAGGACGAAGGCATCGTGGTCTTTAACATGGACCGCCCTGAGGCGCGCAATGCACTGGGTTCTCAGTTCATGGCTGAGTTCCGCCAAGCTCTCGACCAAGTTCGTTACGATCCAAAAGCTCGCGTGATAGTTTTGCGAAGCGTCATTCCCAAAGTCTTTTGTGCAGGGGCGGATTTAAAGGAGCGTCTCACCATGACGCAATCGGAGGTTTAGTACTCTGCATTTGGTTGTGAAGGTGTTTTAAACACTAAATCGAGTACATGGGTATCATTATAGGCGGCAGCCTGTTCGCGTGGCTATCGTATTGGCTTCACGGATCTCGAACAACTTCCAATGCCGACCATTGCTGCCATTGAAGGAGCTGCTCTTGGTGGCGGCTTGGAGATGGCGCTTGCTTGCGATCTTCGCATTGCAGGCGCTAAGGCGATTCTTGGATTTCCAGAGACGTCCCTTGCGATTCTTCCAGGAGCTGGTGGCACTCAACGCGCATCCCGTCTGATCGGTATGACAAACGTTTACATATATAATCTGGTTAATTTGCTTTACACTTCTTTCGTCCGTGTTGTGATTGCAGGCATTTCTAAAGCCAAAGAGCTTATTTTTACGAGCCGCCGCCTTGATTCTAAGGCTGCTGAAAAAATCGGCCTCGTCGACCATGCCGTGCCTGAAGGCATGGCATACGACAGAGCGCTGGAACTAGCACGAGAGATTCTTCCTAACGGACCGATTGGCATTCGCATGGCAAAGGAAGCCATAATGAGAGGCTCTGAGGTAGATATATCATCCGGCATGGCATTCGAGAATGCCTGCTATGCTCAGGTAATTCCGACAAAAGACCGCATCGAAGGTTTGAAGGCATTTAAAGAGAAGCGCAAGCCACAGTATACTGGTGAGTAATGGATTATCGTACCCGACTATGTTCACAAAAACTCGAACACTTCGGAAGTTATCACTTTTGGTCTGTAAAGAACTCTAGTACCCATAAAAAAATACTTTATGTAGTGGCATTTTTATAAAACATACCAATGGAGCTTTCGCGCCTAAGAGATAATATCTCTGTTGGGAAGCTAATATTATTAGCTTCCCAACAAAAGGCATAGTTTGATGACTTCAAAAGAGATCTGGAAACAGTTATCGATAAAGTCGATGGTATTTTGTCAATATGAAGGCGTTAGCAAAATTAATGATCACTTCGCCATGTGTGAATGCCTTCGCGAAGAATTTTCTTTTCAGCCAGCAAAAAAAATTGGAAAAAGCAGCAAAGTTGCTATGTCGGGTGTAGCACGGCTTCAACGATTGTCCTGAATAAACAAGGACATATAGATTCATGACAAGTGTTGCATATCAGGGGCAAGATCATACCCCGCAGTGCGAAGGGTATATGTTGGTATTCATCGTTGCTTTTCGGAGAAATTAGTTTGTAATCTTATTAAGTGTTTGGCCTCCAAAATGACATGATTTCAGTCGCAAAATCTAATAAATCATCTCAACCCTTGTCCCTCGCCGATCCAATCGCAGTTATGCTAATGTTTTCTACGATATTGTGCCGGAATTAACGATACTTAAATATATCACTATCATGAGTAATTTCAATTTCAGCATGACATTTTTGGAGGAACAATGAATGCACAAGCCAAGCAAAGTGAAAGCAGAAAAGGGTCCAGCATTAGTCATACCTATGTTCAACGGGGTTGCCGTTATATTCGCACAGAAAAAGCTTTAAATTTTGGAGTCCACGTTGACAAACTTATAGATTGTTGCCTGTTCATAAATGTAGCATTGATGCGTCCTTAATTAATACTAAACATATATATCTGCTCTAAACCTTAGTTTAAAAACGCATTTATTCTCTGCCGTGCCGCTAGCAGCAGCCACGTGTACCCTGGACCTCTCCCTTTTGAAGTTCCTTATTCTTCATGAATACCGATAATGTAGGACTTGTAGATATTCACCATTATTCCAAGTGTGATGTGACAAGCGTAATATTGTACTAAATTTGCCTGGGCTAGCGCAAGAATGCATAAGCGCGCCCAGTCGTTCTAATTGATAGATGCAAAGAAAACATTGAGCGCTTGCTTACGACCACGCATACCATGATGACGAGACTCGAGAGGCTCTAGGGGCATTCTCTACTGGCCAGAGTGCACGAACAATCCCCCGAACTAAGTACAATCTTCATAATTCCGTCGTCGTATCCTGCGTCAAACTTAAGACCTCTTCCCACTGCATGAAAACTTTTGAGGATGGCTGCTACTGCATTGTTAGGTGCATCTTTCGGGGCCCCAGAAAAATCACACAGAAAGTCGCTGTCCAATACAATTGGGCACAGGTCACCATAATCTCCATGATTGTTTCCAGCGTATTCAGCGTATTCAATGATTTGGTGTACAGTGGATCGACAACATGAACGCTCCTAATTTTGTAGAATTTCATATCTGAACCCTACTTCACGTTCTTCTACCTTACTGCACTTCTCACAATGCTTAGTTCTTACCTTCTCCGACTGCAATCGATTTATTTTGGCAGAATAGATAAGAGCGTGCTCGCTAAACATTCATTCACATGTTGCAGCATCTGTAGAAACGCTCAGGACTGCAAATGCAAGGCGTGCGAGGGTGGGGTATTTTCAAAGCACTAGAAAACTCAGGAGGAGTTACGCCATTGAAATATATATCAATACTGAATCAGCCCACTATCTCTTGATGTAGCTGTCCATGATCGTCATCAAGCAAACGCACGTAGGAAACGCCAATTTCCGACATCGCTATTAGTGAGGTCAGATTTGTCCCAGTTATACATAATGGATGGACCAAGTTCGTCATAAAGACAGCTGTCACAATAAATTATAAATATGATTCTGAATTTCAGTACTACGCTGCAGTAGTATTCTCATCTCGTTGCAAACACAAGGAAGCAATTGATAAATGGCGAATGATGGTTTCCGAGTCTTTGAGCTGTATTAAACATTTAGCAGCTCAAAACATAATATTTAATCAGTCATAACTCATATCAAAAATCCTCGTTCTGTGGCTCGTACATAGCAACAGAGAAATCCACCTTAGTCCTCCATCGCATAACATACATTTTTCAAACCGTTTTGGCACGTAGGATGATGCGAACATCGCCTGGACTGAGTCATAACGTGTTTCCGCCATCTTCAGCGGCGCAAAGTGAGAGCCATGAAAGAATCTTATTTCCTCTCGGCTGAATGGCAGCCACTTAGCTGTTGAAATGTTGAAACATTTAACGATATTGTATTCGAATTGTAATCGTGAGCGGAGCATTGATTAAGTTCTTGACCAATAGTGCAGCGAGGCTGCCGTGGCTCTTTCGCTTGGAGGAAGCTTGGTTAAGATCGTAACTTTCGTTCGATACTTCATTCTATACTTCGGATCAGTACGAATGTAGCGGATCGCAATCCACTTACTCCAAGAGTAAGTGCAACCTAATTAACTCTGTCGCCCGAAATGTAAACTGTATATCTCGGTTTTATGTGCGGCAAAGCCGCCTGAGTCATCTATAAAGAAAAATCTAATCAAATGTATAACTACTGCCACGTACTGACTTTTTGTTTCAGTGTAGCCACGCCATTGTGTGGTCACACAATCTTGTGTGACCCACACTTTTTATATCAGGGCACATGATTCCCCGTCACAAATGCTCAGTGAAATCGAAGTGTGTTGGCGTTGTTTACCGCCATGTTTTCGTGACAGGTTGACATGGCGGGCGGAACAAAACATGTATATCATCTTCGGCTTTTCTAAAGCCAGGATTTATTCACACACGACCGCAGTTTCCAGTGTAGTCAGTAGCAGTAGATCCGACAGTTTAACTTTCACTAAGTATTTTCATGACCAATTCTTAAGCTGTTCAGCGATTGGTGGACTGTCTTGACAATTCGGAAGAATAACATCATCGAAAGTCAGAGAGCAACGTTCAGGTACAACCGAACTGCCATTGTGTTAGATATTGAGTAAAAAATTTCCATGCATCCATGAGCAGATTGGCTCTAGAGCCTTCACCGTGAACCTCTGGGAGAGTATCCTGGTTGCCAGTCGATGCTTCGTCAACAGAATCTTTCCACAAAAAATCTTTTGTCGATGTGGCAATGAAGGCGAACCAAAACAAATACAACGTGGATTCTCTGTCAACAAAAACAGCAGGAAAATTGATCTCTTTCTGAAACGCAAGGAAAAGGTTATAAAATTCCTGCAATAGACCGTTATGTAATGGAGCAGGGCAAAATCTGAACATTGAAGGCTGGCACACTTGCATATTGTTCTTGGTTCTGGTGCCCGATCGAATCGTGGAAACATCGTCCGAGTTGTTGCTTGTATCGGCAGCATCGCTACCACATGACACGTTTGCTGTCGTGTCAATGAATCTTTTATAATGTTCGCGAACACTTAAACGAAACTCAAATACTTCTTTGCAACCAATGACGTTTTTAGGAGAGTCCAGCGATTCTGGATTCTGATTCTGGGGAACGTTCGCAGTGAATACAGATATGTTAATATTTTGAGTCGTTGCACTTCTCGCTCATCTTGATAGAATGCAGTCTTCTCTCTACCGCAAGACGGCCCTTAGTCCGCTTCTGAGATCCTAAACCATTGTGATCACGAAAAGTGAACTATCGATGATGCATTACAATTTCCAGGTGATGGCAGACGAGGGGGGAGATCAGAGTGCAGAAGAGAATAGCGAACCTCGTTACTCTAATGCGCCTGTATGTTGTTACTATCCGTAGGTTATTGGCCAAAAGTTACAATTATAAAACAAGCTTTCAACATAAAACACGTTTGATTGTTTGAGAAAAAACATTGCGTACCACCACTGGTAACACCCCGCGTATGTAATGTCACATTCAGTAATAATATTCGCTTTTTTATAGATTTTAATTCTGATGTATATTTTTGTGGATTAAGTCCCGTTGCAGAATTTTTCATGATGTTCAGCGTTGAACAAACTGAAAAAATAATTTAGGCGCAAATGAACATTATATGCAGATTGGTTAGCCTATTCACGGGTTTCGTGACGCGGAATTCATTCCTCTATAGTGGGTGAGTCAAGTCCATCATTCGACAGTTTGCTTTGACGATAATGTACGTTTCCATTGATCAAGCTCTGCACGCTCAGACACACTACTCTACGTCTTATCAAAGGCGTCAGCAAGTGATATAGGTTCATGTGAGCAATAAAGTTCTCTTTGCGTTCAATCCTTTGACATAAAGCTTACCTGAAAATTTTAACACACTAGATGCTGCGATCGTCCAAATCTCAGCTTAAATCTTAGTTAGCTTAGTCACTGTTATACAGCTGTCGGAAAGAGAGATGAACATTTTCACGTCATCATACGAGTTCAAGTCTTCGAATATTATTTACTGTATCAGCCGTCCCAGAAGTCGCAGTATGTTGCGTTGGCAACTTAAACTATATTTTTTTCAGATTACTCATAATGACGTAATCACGATCGTGGACAGTGAAAATGTAATACTTGTACACCAAACATTCATCTGTTTCAGATGAATTGTGTAAATAATAAATTAATCGCCATCATTAACTTCACGAATTTAAACTTGTGCCACATAGCAAAACAACGAATGAATCATTCATGTAATATTGACGGCATAAGTCTCACATCTCAATTTGAAGCTTTCAACCTGCAGCGGGGCTGCCGTAGCTCTTTGCTTAGACGAAGCCAAGCTAAGGTCACCAAACTTACGTTCTTTACAAGAATCAGTACGAGTGTAGCGGATCGCACTCCGTTACCTCCAGGGCACATAGAACCTAAACCAGGTTAAGTCGCTCTTCTGTTCAAAATGAAAACTTTATATAATTGTTTTAGTTGCGGCAGAGCCGCCAATATCTTAAACCGAATATTTATCTAAACAATATAGTAATATCTTATCAATAAAGAAAAAAACATAATTAAAATGCAGTATTACTGATAGTCCTGCCATGTAGTGGCTTCTTGTTAGTGTGTAGCCACACCAATGTGTGATTCACCAACCTGAGTAATCCACACCTATTTACGGTCACACCATCTTGTGAAACCCGCCCTTTCATTCAAGGGTATGTGTAACCTCTTTACACTCTCCGCCATCAGAACTGTGAACATGTAGCGGGGTTACACGTGCCCGTGTGAAAAGGGCGGGTCGCACAATCTTGTGCGACCGTACACGGACCCTTGTATAAATTGGCAAGATTGTGGGACCCTACATATGTGCTGATTACGTAGTTAGTAAATTAAACAGTGGTGTGGCTACACCGTAACAAGAAGCCACCACGTGGCAGGACTGCCGGTAATAATGCATGTCAATTAGGTTTCACTATATTAATCAGGTGTTTCTATATTAATTTGGAGAACTTAAGGTTTAAGATATTGGCGGCTCTGCCACAACTAAAACAATTAAATACAGTTTCAGTTTTGAACGGAAGAGCGTCTTTACCGTGGTTAAAGTTTAAAGTGCTCTTGAAGGTGGCGGAATGCGATCCGCTACTCTCGTACTGGTTCTTGTAAAGAACGTAGGGTCGGTGACCTTAGCTTGGCTGCTCTAAGCAAACAGCTACGGCAGCCCCGGTGCACTTGGTAGCACTCGTTGTCAATCTACGCTTGGGTCGTTATGACCGATCCTCAGTGAGGACGGAGGAATACTCCTATTTGCCCGAGGGCATACAAAACGGGCTTGATAAGCTGATGTCTCTGCTGGGCCCTGAGGGCATGGTGCACCACTTTGCGCAAGGGCTTGAGGCCATGAGTGCACACCTAGAGGCGTTTCTAAACTATGGAAATGCTCTGCTAAAGCACTTACAACAGAAGCTGTCACTGTCGACTGCGTCTATGACGCCACCGTCGACGACGGACAATTCCTTCCAACCCAGGCCGCTCATGGTGAGCGTTAAGACCTTCGAAAGAAAGAATGGAGAATGGAGAGAATATCCTGCTGGGTAAGAGAGGCCGAGATGGATATGGCATCCGTCATGCTCCAAAACGAGCAACAAAGTGTAGCGCTAGCTATTTCCGTGCTCGGGGTCCGAGCGCGAGAATGTACACTAACGTGTAGTACTTTGGTTGAAATTGCATTCTTTCCTGGATAGAGCGGAAGCGTCAGCTTTCGCGAGTGTTCTTGCCGCCTAACCACGAACATCGCGTGCGTTCGCGTTTCCTTGCTGCAAGAAGGATTTGGTGGACAATTTGCAAGAGTTAAGAGCTCTCATTGCCGGAACGGCAGCCGATCCTCTCCCCGAGGCGGTCGCAGTGACCGTATTTATGGAGGGCCTTCGCACTGGCTTGGCAAAACTGAAAGTCTTTAGCATGCATATGTCTTCTTTTCAAAGAGCAGTGAGCGTGGCATTGAATGCCTAATTCAACTAACAGTCGGCACGACTTGGTTGGAATGCACACCCTCGGCGCTAATCGAGTGGGCCTAAGCCAAAGGATCTCAGCTATGCTGAGAAAGAGGAGCGATAGCTTCGAGCTGCTGAGCAGCGTGTAAACGCCAGACGGTGCTTTGTCTGTGGGTACATCCTTCAACTTTGAACTGGTTGTCCCCTGCGCAAGGCGCGTAGAGGTTCGTCGACCCGACATCCCGCTTCTAGCCTATCTGGTATGTCGCGGGACAACGAGAAAACCCAGTTGGCGCAAGGCGCCGTACTTGGGAAGAACTGAGTTCAGTTTAGCCTCGAGGAGGTAGAGAGCAGCAGAGCCCAGCCACAAAGAGGTCCGTGCTCTTGAACACGGAATGTGTATACAAGCCGGGCTTGCTAGTCGTAAAAGCGACGTGAAGGCTTGGAGAAGCCATGAAAAATCCTTATCAAATTCGGGACGTCGGGCAATTATGCTTGACGTTCCACGATCGAAGGAAGGCAGCTGTATGCTGAGGCGCTGGATACGCGGTTGAGTAAGACCATCACTGTTCGCTTAGGGATGAGGAATTGCGTCACTGTGCTGAGGGTCCCTGTGGACCTCGGTGTCAAGTGTGGGCGCTGCTTAGTATTAGCCTTGGGAGCAAGGTACAATCTTATCCTCGGAATGGCATGGTAGAAAAACCATGAGCCATGGATTGATTGGAGGTCGAAGACCTAGGGCGTTACGCGCACGTTACCTGGTAGAGCTTTGGTGGGTCAAAAAAGCAAAGCGCTTTTGTTGCGGGTACTAAACCAGGACGATCAATGTGCTAGATATCGGAGTATCCGAGTTGTCAAACTTCCTCTCTCGTTATACCGTTAATAAGGGTATATAGCTGTGCACTATCGACTACGGTAGACACACCCTGGGTCAGGGGTGACGATCTGCGTCTTGCAGATAACAAACGGCTTCGCTGTCTCCACTCTATACAGGTTTCACAGCTCATCAAGGCCAGTGGGAGCACGCACTCAACGTCGTCCAGCGTCCTGCTCCACCGTAGCCTTGATGTAAATAATAACTTCCGACGAAGAGCTGCTATTTTTTGCAGTCTTCGTCCAGTGGATAACGTGCCACGCCACACGCATCACATAGGCTTTACCCAAAATGCCTTGACCCTCGTCCGACCAGGCCATAGTTGGCACGCAGCAACTGCACGAAACATGAGCAGTGTCAGTAAATAACGTGCCACACCACGCGCATCACAAGGGCCTTGCCCAAAACGCCTCGGCCCTATGCCAACCATGTCACTCTTGGCATGCAGCGACTGCTCCAATTCTTGAACAATGCCCAGTGGATTACGTGCCACACGATGTTCAGCCCACGAGCTATGCTCGAGACTCTCGTTCAAAACACATTTGGTGTTTGACTTGACATTAGCACTTTGCCACACAGAGTTGGAGCCAAGAGGGTGGATCCATTTTCTCTCAACCATTTTTTTCTTGATACGCACGAAAAAGCGTCTCTAGCGTCATAATGCTTCTTAAGTAATCGGCATTGACGTGTGGCGCACTATGTGGTAACTGGAGTCAGAACAATATCATGTTGCACTCCACGAACCTTGAGCAACACCGGTGTAGTATCGTTTGTCATCACGACTTGAGTATTCTTTGTTCGAGCAACGCGAATTCAGATATTACTCGAGATGCATCTTTCTACTCCTCGCACTCTGTTCTTGACATGTGTTCGCAAACGGTCTCACTCGTGACGAATTGACAGCTCCGACGCTCCCACCCTATGGGCCAGACCAAGCCGGCGACTTCACCGTCCTATAGCATCTTTCATATATTCCCCAGCAAAACTCTTCATAACTCAGTCAGAGCTTCCGCCTGGGGTAGTGGGGAGTTACATCACCTGGTGACTCTCATCATGATTGGATATTTTTTACTAGTTAGCCGAGAGGCTTCATTTTTCCACACGATAGTGCTGATCGACGGATATGGTAGGATATCCCGAATCAATTTCTCTTCATGCACAGTACAAACGGATCACGTTACCAAAATTACTTCACCACTCGACTCGTTAATGTGTGCTCCAAGCTACCTTTATGACCGACATTGAGAATTTTCAGATTTTGAATAGGCACGTAAAAACACTCCGTATTTGAGAAGTTTATTGTAATATATATCAACGCAAGGGTGTAGAAAAATAACTCGTACTGTAATCGAGATGAAGCCTCTATGATTGTTCGCGTAGTATACGACATCAACAGTTCTTTTACCCAATGCCTTACCTGCACGTGACCTTGCGCAGTGCTTCGGATCTTCCGTCAGGTGATTTTAGTTTTGTGGGCGGTAAAAGTGACCCGTACGTCACCTTCAGCGTCAACGACACCAAATACCGCAGTCCATGCCTTAAGAACACGCTCGATCCCGTCTGGGATCCTCCCGAACATTATGTTTTTCCCGTCGCTGATGCTCTTAGTGCTGTGCTTAGTGTGAAAGTCTATGATATGGATACGCTTAATCCAGATGACCTGCTTGGTACGCTCGTTGTGCCCGTGGCTAAGTTCGCAGACGAGATGGATGTGTCAACTCTTGAACATTATCCGCTCTCGCTAGCCAGTGAATTCACAAGCCAAAAGCGTGATAGCATGCTGCTCTTGGAGATATGTTTAAAGCGTCTCGATGATCAGGAGCGCCACTTATATGTCTGGGAAAATGAAAGTTGGTGCATCAACAGTGGTTGGAAGTCCACAAATGACTCAGAACGGCAGCAGTGGTCATCGTATGACGACTCGGCCACATCTGCTGCCTTTTCGGAGGTAGCACCGCGTGCACCAGCCAATATGGAAGGATCAGGCTGGCAATACTGCTTGAATCGTGGAGACGTAGAGGGATGGTTATACGCCAAAACTTTTGCTGGGCCGTGGACGCCCAACAAACTGACGTTCAGCCTAGTCCGACGCCGTTTGTGGGAAAACACATTTAAGCTTTCAAGTGACTAGATGAATGAAAGCGTTTGATCAATATGTACTTAATGTGTTGAAACGCCCAAGAGACTTGAAGCGTCGCGAAACACTGATTAGAACGCGCTGATTTCTGCCATGGCCTCAGAGCAATTTGATGAGACTGCAGACCACACTGAAAGGAATGAAAAGAACAATTATATTGAAAACCATAGCGAGAATAGCACTACTTTTGTTAGAGCAGAGATAGGAAAAAATACTGGTGCTGTAGGTGGTAATGCCTTGAAACTTGCTTGGACATTTGGATTCTCAAAGGATCTAGTCAACGGAGTGCACAATTTATCGACTGGAACGCGTCGAGCTGTATTTTATGCAGCAGCACACACAGGTGTTATCTACGATTATGCAAGTCGAGAGCAAAGATTGCTGCAAGGACATTGTCATCTTATTTCCTGCTGTGTCGTGAGTGAAGACAAACGTTTTATTGTTACGGCCGATCGCGGTCTCGATTCAATGCTTGTAGTGTGGGACGCTCTATCCGGCAACCCAATTCGAACCATTTTTCATCCGCATACAAATGGTGTCCAAGCTATTGACATCTCCCCCGATGCGCTCTTTCTAGCCACATTAAGTGCTGTTGATCGTGATAGTGAAGATGCTTCCAACAGCAAGACGTCCACTCAGCGGGGTTTCGATCAAGAGCTGGCAGTATGGGAGTGGGCAGCATCCAGTGGTGGACCGGCAATTTCAAAGCCGCTATACTCGTCATTTGTAGCCACGGAGGACGTTCAACACACTGTGCGCTTCAATACTTACGACGTTCGAGAACTTGTCACAACTGGTCGCCAACGGGTTATTTTCTGGAGCTGGGCCACGCACACGCTCCTGTTCTTTTCTCCATCACTTGCTCAGAAAAATTTTCGTCAGACGATTGGTGCCTTTACGCAATCATTGTTTATACCCGATTCAGCACAAGCTCTCACTGGAACAGAAGATGGCGACCTTGTGCTTTGGGATATAGTACAAATGGATAACGGCGCTGACGACCCCACCGGCAGTTTTCCAGAGCGTAAAGCTGTCAAAATCGTACGTCTTGCAGGTGGAGCAGAGCCACACCATAAAGTCGCGCTCACTGTTGTAGTCGATATAAATGGTTATCTTGTTCTTGGCTCGAACGATGGTGCCGTGAGATTTTATGACTTTGACTTCCGTTTAGTGGCTTGGTTTGAAGACGTTAATGCTGGTCCTGTAGCGAGTGTCTCGTTTGCTCAGATAATGGATCCATCAAACGCTGAAAACGACGACTGTCTGAAGAATGACGAGTCACTTAATGTCCCGGACTTTATTGTGTCCACAACGTCTGGATTTATCGTCAGTATGAGTGCGTCATTGTTTGCAGAGCACGAAACTGATCGACGACGCGGTACACTACTGCTGCAAGGCGTTGATGACTCGATCCTTGGACTTGCGACTCACCCACATCTTACACAGTTTGTATTAAGTCTGTTTTCTGGGGTCGTACAGCTCTGGGACTACTCAACAAAGAGTCTCGTGATGGTTCGGCGCTTTGATGCGGAGAAGCTTCGTCCAGAATGTCTAACATTTGCTCAAGATGGTCAAAAGCTACTTGTTGGTTTCACAAGCGGCGTTGTCAAATTGTTACACGCCCAAAGCCTTGATGATTTGGCCACCTTTCGACTTGGAAAATCGGCAATTACTGACGTGAAAATGAGTCCAGAGTCGTCAGTGTTTGTAGCGTTGGACGCGAACTTGTTTCTTGGAATGTGGCGTGCAAAGCAGGTTCCAGAGGGTTCTGACGTTGTGGATGAGTGGGTGTATTTAGGACGTTGTCGAGCTCATTCGAAGCCCGTGACGGGGCTTGAATTTTTTCGGAATGGTGATGGGCAACCGGTGCTCGTGTCTGTGAGTGAAGATCGGACTCTAGTGGAATACTCTTTAGAGCGCTCAAGTATCTTGGATGGCGTTGTCTTGAAACAATCTCCTACCCGCATTGAGCAAAGTGCTGTTCCGACTGCGTGTTGCTGGCACCCGGAATTACAGGGTGTCCACGAAGATTTGGTCATTGTAGCTGATGACGAATATAAACTCAAGCAATGGAACATGGGCAACCAAACTTGCCGTAAAACAACGCTAGGACCATCATACAGTGGACCAATCCACAAGTTGGTGCCCGTGCCGCTGCGTGATGAGGAAGAAATTGCCGTAAAAGCTGCAGGTGACATCGCACAACGATACTGTGTCTATAGTACTTGTGAAATGGTCGTTGGATTGCTTGAGCTTCCTCTTGATGGGAACCCCCGAAAAGCAATGGGGCTTATTGCACATCCGGGCAAAATTAGCAATGTGGATGTGACTTTTGATGGCAAATACTTACTCACTGCAGGTGGCAATGATCTTGCAGTAATCATGTGGGAGATTCATCCTCACGAGTTAGATTTGATGGAGGCTGCATGCACACTTCAAAATGACGGCTGTAAAGACAGTAATGACAATGAGGCGGCTCTTGCACCGTATCTGACACTTCTAGAAGGGGGTCGGGACGGGTCTCTCTACAACGAGATAGTTGACTATTTCTACCTTGCCCAACTTCGTGTGCAGGGTGAGACATCGTCTGCTGTCCGCAAAATAACTTTCCAAATCCCGCTAAGAGAGATTTCAAATGTTATGCGAGCATTAGGATATTACCCCACGGACGAGGAAATTCAGCATATGGTGAGCGAGGTGCGCTATTCACGCTTCACTGAGACCTCTCGACCTGTGGAAAGTATTGGACTTAATGATTTTATCAAACTTTTTGTAAATCATCGACCAGTTGTAGGAGTCAATAGATCACAAATTGAACGAGCTTTTGCTATTCTAGCGATGACAGAGAAAGGATCAAGTAATGATATGGTTAAAGGGCCCGCGACATTAAAATGGGAGCAAATTGAGGCTCGATTGCTGTACAAGGGGGAAGTCATGAGTAAAGAAGAGCTGCAAAGTTGTCTTGCAGCATTACTAGCTTCTGAAAATGAAAGAGATGGACTGTCGATGGAGTCGCAATATACGGCGTTAAGCTTTGCAGATAAAGTTCTTGGATTCGACGGCTACAGGTTAGCAGGAAATGAAGGGTAGAACTTATAGACAAATAGCCAAACTTCATCAAATCGTTATTTTTTTTTATTGCTCAGATGCTCATTTCGTCAGCTAAACAACGATAAGTACACTCCATTTGTCGTTCATGTTCTTCTTGCACGATCCACAAATCGTCTTTAACTTCGTTAAAAGCATTATTACCAAGTGATAAGGCGCTGTCGTTGACGCTGCTGATATAAATTGCTACCGATTTTGTGGCTGCATTGGATCTCGCGCCTTGTAGCAACCCGCGAACTAGATCTGCCATTGAATCTTTGCGAAGCATCTTCTCAAATTTACTAAATGCACGCTCGTGAGAGTTTGGTGAGAGGCCTTCATCCATTGTCGTATACGCTGTACCAGTGTTGAGTTCTTTTGACGTTGGAGAATATAGCAAATCTGAGTTGTTTGATGGTGGAGTGAACATGATGCTTACGAAACGGTCAGGAGTTAGATCGATGATGGCAGGTGTCGATTGGCGTTGAAAATCAATTTTGTCAATCTACGACCAGCGTTTCAAGACTTTCGTTGATAACAGTTGTGGGTACTAGATACTTCGCGATATGATTAGGAGCAAGAGATTGTGCAAATGCGTTGAAAGAAAAGTACTATAATCTGGATCCTAAATTCTGCGCGTCCTACCCGCCTCTGCATTTATTCAATAGAGTTTGAGCTAATGTTTGATTGGGTGCCTTAATCTCCATTATGAGCAATTGATGTTGAGCTTGCCGAGGTATAAAATCACTACCTTGTCGGCGCGAAAGAGAGCTCAGTTCTTCTCCCACAAAAATACAGATAATTTCTAAGACTTACAAGCTTTTAATTACAAGAGCTTTACCTCAAAAACTTTATTTGCTGCAATTATCGTGCTAGATAGATGCATAGCACGATGTAGAATATGATGTAGGATAGTAATCTGTCGCTTACTATTGATTCGGCGGAATCGGCAAGATTGTGCATATACTCAGATTACTCATGTAACAGGGTTACCGAAACTTGACTGCGTTATAAACGCACAGAGGATTATTTAAAGGCCGGGACTAAGTACTGACATAGTTAAGTAGTCTATCTAAAGTTTATAACCCACATATCATCAGCAATAAATTTAGTGTCACACATCGACGTATCAAACCTCGGTGGACTTGAAACGGAGCTCGACGTAGTACCTTTATTCAGTATCGTGGTAATATAAGACTGAACAAGTACTCAGCATGATCTTAGATTTTTGGTACTTTGAAAAGTTTTGTCGAATATGTATGACCAAAGTATAGCGGTGGATGTATTAGTGGTAACGCGAGGTGAGCCCACTCCTTTTTTCGCTACTACGAGCCTAGAATGCATGCATCTAGTAAAGTTGTATGCTATTCAGCGAGCAAGCCTTCACAAATAGAGCTTCATCAAAATTCATCCATATACAAATTCGAGCATGTCTTCGTTGCTGATGATGCTGTTTCATAAGTTCCTGGTGAAAAGTTATCCGCCGTGCATCATATTTTTGACTCTTTTTGTTCAGAGATATACTTTGCCACATCCTGCTGCAATACCTCCTGATCATACTTGACCCTTCGACCCTGCGCACCGTCAAGCGACGATGTTAGCCAAGTTGGCGATGACGCCACCTCGTGAACCTGCTCTTCAGCAGCGAGCACAGTCAGTGCTGCTTCAATCTTGCTTTCACCAGCATCTACTGCCACCTTTAAAGTCTCCGCGAATTCGTTATCTTTCGAATTCTGTGCAGCATTCGTTACCTTTGCCAAAGTATCTCGACAGGCAATAGTTTCCTCCTCTAATCGTCTAAGACGGTCGCGTATCTCCTCAAATGCGGCAGCCAAGGCAATATTTTTGTCCCGGCGCTTCTGAACAACACTTAATTCGTTTCTCACTTGCTTCAAACGGATCGCCTCATTCTCCTGCTCCATTCGTTGCTTCACTGAGTAAAGATACAATCCCAATAAAGTACCAGGGCCAAAGGCGAAGAGTCCGTATATAAGCTTACGCTGTGGCGACAAGAGCTTTCTAGGGCAGAAATAGAGGTGTCAAGCATGAAAGATCAATAGTGAAATTGCCGACTTGGGATCTAGACAAAGCATTGTCTTTGAACGCACTCATAAGCGTCCCGAGGAGCGTCTGAAAAAAGCATCTTAACCTTGCCTGTCGCCATTATTGCTCTTGATAAGTGATAAAATTTGTTAATGAAGAACATAGTAATTATCATATGTTTCACGTACTAGCATATGTTGCATAAAAGTACTATTTGCTTTGTTTTTATAGCATAAAAAATAATATTCTAGTATGCGCTCACACTTTGCCTTCCATCACTTAAGTAGCAAAAATGATTGCACGATCGATCTGTGACTTAGTGTTTTTTGTACGAGAACTCATTTGATAACCATGGTGCGCCGGAGTTGTTGGAGTTTACCACATCCAATGTCCTATTGCGAATCTCATCGGCCTTAATACGGCTTAAGCCCCGCAGCCAGATTTCATACCGGTAGTTATTGCCAGAGTCCTTCTTGTCTTTTTTATTATTCTGTCAGCGAAAAGCAGCATCAATTGATAAGTTTGAAGTTACATATCATTTCAACCAGTGTATACCTTATGAACTACACGAACGCCAGTCACTTCGTTGCCTGGGTCAATCAACTCTCCGATGGCTCCAAGCACTAACCTTTCCCAATATTCATCTAGTTCTTGAGCCCCCACATCTGAGTGTACAAGTACAATCCAACGGCATGGACATAATGGATGAGCGTGTTTTAGACACCCTCACGCAAAACCAAACAAACCTTTTCGAATTGACCACTCGCCACCATTCTTATTCTCCGGGTCCTCCCACTCAGGAACGATGCCTTCTTTAAACACTGCAAAGCCTTCTACTGTGCGGTCTGCAAATTTCTTGCGGGTGAATCCATCAAACAGAACCTGGCTACTCAGATTTTTTTGTATGTTATAGCACAACAAAATACATTGCAATGATTAAAGTCTATAGCTTTATAGCTTTATATCGCAGCCAACCGACCTGGGTGATGGGATGTTATTCCAGTAACCCCAAAATTCCTCAACTGTGCGAAATGTGCAGAGCTTAAAAAGCTTGTCACCATAAGACATGTTCTTTCCTTGCTCACGCTGCTCCCATATTGCCCATGGCTCGTTAAGTTCGTGCATCTCGGCGTCCCCCGACGCCATAGCTCACTATATCCCGAAAATTTGCACCGCACTTAGAATCCTATTTTGTATTGCTGTCCACAAAAAGTATTAGCAAACCAGAATTCTAGCCAATGATATGGTTCTGGAATAATAAAGTTATTGTATACATTTTTATAGTGATATCTTCCTCCATTATACCGCGGTAATTGCTGCCAATGATGTTTGTGTAATTTCGTCACCAGCATTCCATTAACAGGTAATGTTAACGATATCAAAGAAATAGCCGAGCGCCTTTGCTCAATGCCTCAAGTGAGAACATTACTGGGCTTCCAGTGACTACACCCTTGCCGAGAGATTTTTGGAAGCACTCTCCACCACATTTTCTACAACTTTCGATTAAATCTCCGAGGAAAATGTACAACCTCTTATATAAATTTACACTCTCTTGCTTCGACCAGACCAAGCGCGCAAACAAGTTCGTTCACGTAGCGCTCTCCACGTTATTTTTATATAGGATCTTGAGATGACGTCTCTAAAATAACATCAACAAGGTTTGAGCAGTAATAAAAAAATACCAATTTATTTCCGTGTCTATTAAGCCTACAAAGTATTGTGATTTATTACATCCAGTCCTAAGCTCAATTGTACTCGGACATCTTGCTTCCACATACGGCTTTTCCAGTGACACAGAGGCATGACTACACTTTACACTGAATTTACTCGATCGCTTTGCGCTTGATTTGATCGCGCAAGCCCTGAAATTTGATGCGATATCATCCGATAGTGTAAAGAAATTGTCTGAACTAATTCTCCCCATTGAAAATATAGCAGCTACTAAGAAATTGGAGTATGACATAAGAAAAAGTTTCATCAAGATTATTTGATCAAGGTGAAGATCGTATAACACCAATTATTAAAATGACAAATGTACGTGCAATGTCAAAGAATTTAAACCTAGCATCGCACCTAGCAACCTACAATCATTCCTACATGAACCAAGCATTGCACCTGTTGCTTCACAACACTGCAGCGGAACTGCCGTAGCAAATCGCTTGAGGAAGCGTACTTTAGGTCACTGATCTTTCTTACAAGAACCAAGTATGAGTTAGCGGATCGCAATTCGCTTACTCCAAGAGTGATTATTGCCTTCCCAAGGCTAATCGACTCTTCGGTCTAAATTTCAAACTTAGTTTTTATTTATTTTTTATCCTAATTTTTAAAAGGTTAGATTTTCCTAAATATAATAAATATATATAGTGAAATTTAAGTACATGCATAACTACTGGCTAGCTAGCCCCGTACCTTATTCTTGTTTGGGTGTGGTCACACCATGCACATCTCGTGTGACACACACCCCTGTCATTAGGGTTCGCGTAACCCCGTTACACCCTACCCCATTAAGATTTACAGTTCCAATCGATTATTGCCTCAACGAGACTCGCGTGTCCGCTAGACACTGAAACTGAATTTGTTAGAGTTTAACAACTTCATTGCTAAATGGACCCTGTGTCCACGACACGGAAATCATCAAGTCTCGCTGTTTCTGACAGCGAGCACGGGCAGAGCCTAGCTTCGTCCCCCGCACGCGGTGCGATGTCGGACAGTGCGTCCGCGCCAACGGGGAATGTATATCCTAGGCTCGACCACAAACGTCGCTATCTGCGCACGGTTTTAGTGCCGAGTGGCCTCGCTGAGGATGTAGTCGACTGTGGGTCTGACACCTCTTTTCCCGCATGAAATGACGAGAAAGGCGAGCTGCACCAGCAGCGTGATACGAGCCCTGCTCGCGTCTTGCGGCCTCTATGTCCGTTCCCTGAGTTCTCGTCAACAGAGGAACGTGGTGTAATCACCAATGATTTCGACGGGACTCATAGGCGGCAGCTTGAAGCTGCCCATAAGGCGGCTCTCAAGCGCGCCCATCCACGGTCGGTCATTGACCCTCGTGTGGAATATGGCTTCCGCCCTGCGGATCCCGCTTTGGAAGCGATGGGCGTGGTAACTCGATCGGTTCGCGTCCACATCATCGGGCCCCCGGCCAGAACGAATGATGAACTTGCCACACGGAAAGCTCTTCGAGCTCGTTTTTTGTTCCCACAAGAATTTCCGTTAGACGTTTATCGCACTCGTCTAAGTGCTCAACGAGGTGGCTCTCGTGTACCCGCAATGCTTCGTCATCTGTAGTGTTTTCGCCAGGGGCGAGCACTACAGGTATTGTCCGCGCTCTTTGAGCGATGAGTGCAACGGCACCGAAACCTTTCCTCACTGCATTACATGCAGTTGAGCCACAAGGAAGAGGACGTGTCTGGAGCGACACCACCAATTTGATTTTGATAGACTCAAGGCACGCCGTCGACTTCCTTCGGATTGTCTCCCTGCGACGTATGGGTTAACAACCCCTAATGCTCCCGCGAGCTCTCTGTCTTAGACCGCAAGAGCTCAGGGCCACTGCTTGAGCAGCTCGTGGTCTTTCTATTTTTCTGGCTATTGTCGGGAAGCGCGGGGCGTCTGATGACGCGGGACGTCCTAGTCGTTCCGATCAAAGCGTCCACGGTACTGGGCAATCTTGCCGAAGTGGCGCCTTAAACTCCCACATGTTTTCGGAGTCGGGATATCTCCGCCACTTCACAAGATATTGGGTTTGACCCTGATGACAACGTTGCCTAACTAGACGTTCCACATGATAGTGAACGTCACCGTTCTCATCGAGAAGAGTGGGTGGCGGGTGGTGACGACCGGGTCGATCGCCGTCCAATGACTCGTAATGCTCTTCGTGCCCTTGAGGACAC